AAATTCAAGTTGGCATACATTAGGGTATAATGTGCTCCTCTCCCCCACCACCGCACATACAAATCCCTTAGCTATCAGCTTCCCTCCTGCACCCACCAAATGAAGCGCAGGTTACACAGACTGATTAGAATACCACCTTTTGCATTGAACATACATAGCTCCAGTTTTTACTATTTCTAGGAAACGTCAGTGATAACTAGCACTGCAAATTTACACAAGTTACGAGCCTGTGGATAATAATGCATGTCTGCATCCCAGTACAGATGTGAATTTAAAAACATATCCAAGAAAGGGAAAATCTATAAACTTAAGAGAAATCACCACTTAACATCCCTAGTGGTTCTGATATTATAAAACTTTTTTTTAAAGAGAGAACAAAACAAAACCTCAAAGGTAAGTTGTGATTTTATTTTTATTTGTAAGATTGTTTATTGTAAACTAATTGGCATGCAATTTTGTTGCTTTTATCTTCAGCATCAGTGAGTTCCTGGCAAAATCTCAAGACTACCCATATGTAATGGCGGACAGTTTGTTGGATGTTTTGACCCAAGGAAGGCATTCTCTCTCACTCAGAGAACTTGAAAAGGTGAGACTGCTTGTGTGTGAGCATCTGTATCAGATGCTCTCTCGTTATCCTTAACTGTTCACCCTACAAGCTGAGGCTGATGGGAGTTGCCCTCCCAATATTGTTTAACTACACTTTGGCTACTCCCAAAGTGTAAATGGTGGAGTGGAAATCATGGCATTAAGGAGTCCATAGACATGGGGACAATTACCCTGGACTGTAAAAGAATCTACATGACAGATATTACTTCTGAGACCAGGTACTGGTTCTCCTTGAGAAAGCATGTTGGAGGAAAGGCATACCTTTAGAAATATTTGAAACTATGTTTTTATGTAAGAGTATTTAACTCACCTGGATCCCACTGTGAAGTTTTCATTGAGAAATTTATTCCCTGTAATGGGGTTAATTAGCAGAAAACTAGCTTGATAAGATGTGTGTGTGTTATAACTAAGCCTGGAATCATGTGCACAGGCTGCTTAAAACCCATCAGCTTTAGGTCAGATTCTTATGTCCCTTCAGTGTCATGGGACCCACAGCAGTATTACTCCTTCCTGTATCACTGTGGTAATATGAAAAGCCTGGGATTACATAGGAGAAGCCCTCACTGTCCACCTCAAGCAAATATAACCAACATCTGGAAGGCACCCACCCTGGAGTGTTTTAAATCAGAGGTAACCAGTTGAAGGGGTTGAGCAGCTTGAAAACTTTATCCTTCTTTTCCAGTCGCAGCCAGCAGAAGAAGCTGAATGTCTGTGTGAAAAGTCTGCTACAAGCAAGGATGTGGAGGTGATACTCTTCTGAATTTGATTGAGGCAGTGAAAGGTTCTCATGCAAGCCAGTTAGAATAATTTGTTTCAAGTGCCAAATTTTATGTACTTCTACATAAAACCGGAACAGCTGACTTGCTCTTTACTGTGCAGCATTGGAGATAAACTTCCAGCTCTGTGTTGCAACCTTTCATTCATAGCATTAAAATCAAGTTATGTAAAGTTCACCTTATTGTTGTGCCACGGTCAGATTTTAATTGCAGTCATCTGTATTCTCCAGCCACAGCTTGTACTATATAAAGAAACCTGTTTTAAATCCTTATTACTTTGAAAGCTAAGCCCTCACAACTTCATGCTGTTGTGCAAGATAGTTGCTGCTGCCTGTTCAACATAACTGTTGTAAACAGGAGACATTTGATGAAGGAGGTCTTCAGGTATAAATGTATTACTAAGGTATCCTCATCTGACTCATTGGCAAATGGATGAGATTCTGCAGAATGGTATAATTGCCTCTCTTTTGTTGTAAATGTTGAAGCTGGAACATAGTCCCAGATATGATAGTTGACCAGCTGATATTGGAGTAGTTCTAAGTCTGCACTTGAGGTAATAGAAAACCAATTATAGTGGCTTAAACCATCCCACTTAGTATATAGCAGGGATGGGGAATATGTGGTCCTCCAGCTGTTGGGCCACAACACCCCCAGCCAGCATGCCCAATGGACAGCTGGAGGGCCACACATTCCCCATTCTTAATGCCTATTTTTGATCTGAAGAAAAGGTTGAGAGTCACCACAAATGCACTGCTTGGTTCAAATATTTTGTATAAATTTGGGTTTTGCTTGATTTTTAAGAACCTGCATTTGTTTGCCATCTACAGATTCTGGAAACAGCTCAACCAAGTAGGTTTGACTCCTCTCTCAGTAAGGAGAGGCTGACAGCACTGAGAGCAGTAACCAATTTTGGAATGCCTGTGGAGGAGTTTGACTCAGAAGGTGAGTGGCATGAGCTGGGCACTTGTTGCTTTGCAAGGCCTCTTGGCACATTCCAGCCCAGCTGATGTCTGCCCTAAACTTCACTTTCAATTGAACAGAAGCGGAGGTCTTCCAGAAAAAACTTGACGAAACCACAAAATTGCTTCGGGAGCTTCAAGACGCTCAGAATGAACGACTAAGTACGAAGCCACCTCCGAACATGATCTGCCTTTTGGGCCCATCTTACAAAGAGATGCACTTGGGTAAGTGTGTTGCTCCTGGCACGTGAAACCTTTAAATTTTAGACACGTCCTGGTTCTTTAGTCTAACCTCTGCCCTGCTACTAACTTCTTTAAAATGGATGCTGGTTGTCTTGGTAACCACATTTATCAAATGGAGCAGCATTGCCACGACAATATAGGGACATCACCTTCCTGGATGTCATAGAAGAGTGGAAGATGTGTGGTTGCTGGCGGGGATTGAAATGCTAGTTACTGCAAGCTGAAGGGGATTCCTTTATGCCTTGCTGGCTGCTGCAGGCAGAGGGGCCAAGCCTGGAAAGCTAGATGAAAGTAATCTTCCCCTGCCCCCCACTATCTGAAGTCATGATGGACAGGGCAGGGCCAGCAAAGACTCTGCAGCTAGTGCACAGAGCAGGTTAGATACGGTAGCCACAACATAAATAAAATACATCTTGCACTGCGTTTTTAGAAATGCAGCAATGGGAAACAAGGTAGTGCATTTCACTTCCTTATTGTTCCTATTGTTATACCGTCTGGAGGGCTGCATGGCTTACTGTGCATGAGGTGATTTTGCTTGCTTTGCTCCTCTGTGCTAGAGCACTGGCCCCCTAACCACAATTCCTGGGGGCTTAGTGATATGTCCAAACCAGGGATTGTGGTTTGTATGGAGTGAAGCAAATTAGGACCTTCTCAGTAGAACGCTCTCCCATCTGATGCCAACCCTCTTCAGGGAACCTTTTAATGGTTGATGTTTTATTGTGTTTTTAATATTTTGTTGGGAGCCACCCAGAGTGGCTGGGGCAACCCAGTCATATGGGTGGCATATAAAAAATTATGATGATGACCTTTGACTAGGATATAGTACTAAGCCAGTGACCATGGTTTGTTCCCATGCCCCAGTAGAGAAAATGGCCCAGATAGGTGAGTGATTCATCATAAATCATTAACTCTGCCCCACTTTACATGTCATGGAAAACCAATGTGTGCCAACTAGTTTTATATGACAAAACCCTGCATTTTTAGGCGGTTGGGGGGCAATTAACAGACTTAGATAAACCTTATAAAGTCATATCAATGTTTTACTGTTAACTTTTCCAGCGGAGAGAGTGACAAGTAATCTAAAAGAGCTTGCACAACAAGTGGCTCCAGGAGATATTGTGAGCACATATGGCATCCGTAAAGCGATGGGGATTTCAGTTCCTTTACCAGATGCCATGGACAGCTTTGTTGACTTAACAGATGGTGAGTAACCACAGTGCATTTCAGCAGGTCCCCATAGATCGGTTGTCCTGGATGTGGTTCATGAGTTGCTCACCACATGGAGTAACTACAGTAACCATATTCTGTAAACTAGCACTTAAGAGGTACTTAACCCACAGAAGAAATAAACAGGTTCAACACAGAAGTCAGACTTTCTCACTATCATGTTGGACTAGTTAGAGCTGGAAGATGTGCCTAAATCTGACTTTGGCACATTTTTGGCTTGACATTTCCCCTTCCCTGCAGTGAGAGCTGCTTGTTAATTCTGAAGCAGATTCACACCATTGTCTGTCTAAATAGAGAGAAGCTAATATACCTCCACCTGTTTCCTTAGCCAAAACAAGCAAAGTAATAGGCTGTTAATGCTTTTTCCTCCCCAGAAGCAGAGGAACCTCCAAAGGCTCCTGTTCTCATTGGAAACGAATGTGAACCAGTTGGTGGTACATGATGCTTCATATGTTAAAAACATAAATGTTTTTAAGTCTTTCCTTTTTAAAAGATTTGTCCCAGTGCATGCATGGGCACTTTGTATACTTGTGTTATATTTGAATTCTTAATAAAAACTTTAAAATCAAACCAGTTCTATTTTCCTGACAGATCTAAGAGATGCTTCTTGAATGCAGTGCAGAATGAAGCAAGTTGCAGAGTTTTACATTCACACAAATCTTGTTACATTAGATGCTGCCTCTATTCTGCAGGCATTATTTGAGTCATACAGGACTGAGGTGACAATGGGCTAGAAAGCCTTAAATTTGACATTTAAAATGGTGCATTTATTATTACAGGAAGTCACATGACAAAGCAAAAGGAAAGCTTATCATAGCCACTGGAAATGGCTGCTGTGGGCAACAATGTTCAATTTAAATTGAGTCACCCTAGACAAGTTTTCACATCACATCGGACATAACAGTGCCTTACTATGTTTACTCACATTCAGCAGAATCCACCTAGAGATGTACACAGGGCAGCAGCCTTAGACTTGAACAGTTGACTGCTTTCCCTTGAACATACTCCAAAAGCAACTGGCAACATAAGAAAAGAAACTAGCAAAGAGGCCTGCTTTGGGGTTTGTTTTTCCCCCTCAGGCAGCACAATGTCTTTCCTTTGTTGACAGTCAAATGGAGGGCAAGGTGCTTCATGTAACATTGCTCTTTCATTATAACAGCCTGGGGAAAGTGATCACACAAAGCAAGAATGAAAGATTTACTTTTATGAAACGCATTTCTTAAAGAATTTGAAACGATACAAAAGAAGAGCAATGAGGCAACAAACGCATCCTAAATTTTTAATCTGGGAAATTTAGAATTAAAACAGAAGGTAGACAAGTTACCTTGACTTGCAGTAGAATGTGAACAGAAACAATTAAACATTAATACTTGCATTTCACACTTGAGTTTCTGCTGTTGGCATATGACGTTTGATAACTGATGCCAAATGATGACAAATAGTTGCAAAGATTAAAGGTGGATCCTTTGAACTAAAGCATTCTAACAAATGCACACTAAAGTAAGAACTGAAAGCAGTGTTATATTTCACATTAACTTGCTGCTATAACAAAATACAATCGTGTAAGTTTCCTTTTTATCCTACCTAGGACTACCCTATCTTGCTACTTTCCAGTGTGACCTACTCTAGACAGCTAAGACTTTCCAAAAGTCCTAAAAGCCACAGTAGGACTTGACTAGAAGAGTTTTGTTCCTGTCATGAAACATAGGCACTTCAACCTCCACATAAGTTAATTACACAGTAATTATAATGAACACAACAGGGCTGCATCCAGGGCAAAGAATGCCAGAAATCTTTGCACAGTTAGTCACATTCTACTCTGAAAACTTTTTAAAAAATACTAGAGTCACAGTCCTCAAGTCTTGGAATGATTTCCATAAACTTCAACTGGATTTCAGTTAAGCTACTCCAGAGAGTGACTTGCAAATTGGAGCAGAGCCAAAGGCATTCTACAGAATCTCAATCACAGGGAAAAACATACAATTTCAAAATGTTTCATGGTATTCACATTTAAATTTATAGAACACTTCAATGCAAAGCCATTCATTTTGCTTTCCTAGGATATGCCCAGGTACTAGTCAACACAGTTCAGTTGTGCTCCACATAAAGTCAGACTGCAAGATGTGCACTTACCTGAGAGTAAACCCACTGCCCCAGTATGACTTACTTCTGAGTACACATGCATAGCACTGCGCTGCTAAGCATTTCCCCCCCCATGGGGCACATAAAACAACTCTTCTTTTCACATTGTAAACAATTTACACCTTTTCCTCTTGCCTGTAAGACTTAGTGGTTTGTTTCTGGTTCTCCTGTGAAAAGCCTGTCAGACAGAAGTAATTTTCATAAGATAAAAAAGTTTCAAGGCTAGCCCCTGGGAATACACCTAATGGCAGGTACAGTGGAATGGATCCCAAAAAATATTGAGCATAAGCTGATGGCCCTGATTTGCAAACAACTCAGGAGTTTACCCATTAATAAAACAGGTAGATTCTAGAGCCATTCTTAAGCTCCTGCAACAAGCTGGAAAAGCAGATCTCCATCTTTTGCAATTTAGTTTCTTCTTGTACAAGGCTCTACTGAAACCTGTACCTTCTGCATCTTTGGATCCAATCCCATATCATTTAAGCAGACTAAATGAGTTCTACCTGAAAAATGATTTTGTTCAGAAGCCAGCTTTCTGTGCTTTCCCTACTCCCAATTAGCATGCCTCACACAGATCTTGCATGGTGGCTGGTAACAACACACTGCTGTGAGGTGTTTCCAAAATGAGTTCTGAAACCCATAGTATTTCTCCTTCACCTAGTTAGTTATATTGGTTGGTATTCAGGTGGTCAATTTTGGAGTTGCCTTATGCTGACTTAGTTTGTGCTAAATATCACTGAAGCTAGAAAGAAATGAATACTCTACCGACAACAGGAGAAAGAATAATAATTAACAAATAGGTCCCCCCCTCTCAAATTGTCTAATGGGACTGGAGCAAAAACCCATGGCATAGCAAAAGGTGGTAGACATACGAAGTTCAAGTCTGGCTCAGGGTGGACATTGTATTTGGTTGTGCCCCCTCTGTTCATTTTTATCATAAAAATGTGGAAACAGGTGGCAGCCTCTTGCCAATGATGAAATCTAGCAATACAATAGTTTGGGAGGGAGGGAGGGGTTCACTAACTGTACAAAATTTGCACTGTAGCTGCCAATGTGCTGCCCTATGGTTTGTTACGCCCACAAAAGAGATCTGTATCCCCAGAAACTATACTTCTTTTTATCAGACGAATTAAGGAAGACACTTGAAGTTTCTCTGTGCCATATTCTAAGAGTGTGTTATCACCCAATTCTGCCTGCCATACAGCACTGGCATGCCAGCAGTGAAAACTATTTGAAGCTACTCACAATTATAGGAGCAGGGTTACCAAGTGCAAGAATCTGGATTTTTACACGCACACTCACACTGCTGATGTTAGGCATGTTGCTGTGGGGCACTAATAGCTGCTGAAACAAAAAGCACCTGGTGAAGTGCAAAAAACATTACAACACAAGCAAAAGGTGTACGAGGAGAAGCCACCCACACATTTCCACCCAGAGTGGAAAGCACATTCAAGAACTAAGGCCAAGAATGTTTCCAGACCCAGGTAACAGAATCCAGAAAAAAATAAGCCATGTGAGCAAAAAATAAGCAAGTTCCTCACATCACTTGTCTTCTGCTCCAGTAAAGAATAGCACAGGCATAAGCAAAACAGATGTGTATGATATATCCGGGTATGGTTTAGCAGCAGAACAGGATTACCACCACAGAAATGTTTATAAGGACCGGGTTGTGGTTGTAGAGAAGAATACTGGCAGTGCAACAGTTCCTGGTACTGAAATCCAGTTCTAGAGCAGAGCTGCAGCTCAAAGTCAGGTGGGAGGGTGGGGGAAGCACAACCAAATGATAAGAGCACAAGCTTTGTGTACAGTTGATCCCAGAGTCAACCCCTGACATCTCCAGTTAAAAAGTTCTCAGGCAGAGGAGTCTTCGGTCCCATTGTCTTATGTAATAAGACTGCTGCAAACTCAAGGCGGTGCTGTGTCCATGGACAAGTGCAATACTGTTAAAACCAGGTCTGAAAGGATGAGGCAGTGGAATGTTTTAACGAGGCAATTCGTTCAACTGTGAATCCATGAAAAAGGTGCAGAAGTGGAGCTCTGTCCTGTGGCTGCATGGCAGGGAAAGGAGAGAATAATCTGCCACATGGACACCTGCAAACTCTTTTGACAGGCACAGCTGTAAAGAGCTTTTCCACAATCCTTTCTCTTGAGATACAAGTACTAACACTTCTAGTCCGCACTCGTTTTTGTCATAAGCTCCTTTCTATAAGGAGGCAGAGTTTCCAGGCTTTCCGGAAGGGAAGTTGTTTTAAAAACAACCAAGCCCATCAAGACACAAATTTTGACCGAACTTCTCAGCAGTTTCTTGCTCGAATCAAAGCGCTTGGGATTTGGCTGTATCCGTGCACACAAAGTAAGTCACCAGTTCTCCTTTCCCCTTGACGTTAATAAGTCCTCGGCATTCGCAGGCATACCCCAGGTTCTCCAGTATTTTGCAAGTCTCTTCTGTAACCTGTGCACAGAAAACATATGAGTCCATTCACAACTCAAAGTGAGCATTTCATCCCTTTCAGGCCCAGCTACTACTCCTGCTAAGAGCATGCAAAATAAATAAACAAATAACCAGAAACATCAGAAAGAGGAACAAGGAAACCTCCAGAACAGGAATAAACTATACAGCTTTCCCCCAACCTCTTTCCCGCTGGACAGTGAAATATCTGGGCTGCTCCTGGGGAGAAGGGACTCAAGAAGCAGGCAGGGTAGGTGAGATGAGATTAAAAGGCAATGGAAACAGTCACAATGACCTCCTTAGTTCTGGGTTTGAAGAGGGACTCTCCTTATGTTCCAATCATTGTACAGGTTTCCTTCACCCCTCTGCCCACTTTTTTTTTTTACCTGGATTTTCCCAAGTTCTCCTGTACTCTCCATTCTACTGGCAACGTTGACTGTGTTTCCCCAGATGTCATACTGCGGTTTGCGAGCACCAATCACACCAGCTACTACAGGGCCATGGTTTATTCCTGCAAGAACAGGAAAGGGAAGGTTAAGATGAAATTTTGCTTTCCGCTCCTGTGGCTTCTTGCCACAAGAAGAGGAAGGTGTTGTATGCCAGCATGGGCAAATAAAATCACAAGTTTAATTCAAGGGAATGTGTGCCTAAACAAAGGCATGTCTTCAGAAGCCGGCGGGATGCCAACACTGATAGGGCTTCTTGTATCTCAGCAGGGAACACTGCTACTACCCCGTGAAGAAGTCCCACCTCTATGTTATTGTAAGTTGATCAATATCTGGTCATGGCAACACTATCTGGGTTCCATTAGCTTACTGGGAGGTGGAGGTTGTCCCAGGTTCAGTCCCTGGAATCTCCAGGTAAAATTGGGAAAGACTCTTGCCTGAAACCCTGGATAGCCAGTCAGTAGTGAATACTCAGAGCAATGGTCATGCTGGTTGGGGCTGTAAGAAACTGGAGTCCAACCACTCCCAGCTGGGAGAGACTCCTGCCTGAAACCCAGCTGGTCAATTGAGGCTAGGTGGACCAGCTAGGTGGACCAGTGGTCTGAATGAGAACAACACAGCGCCTCATGTTTCTGTACTCTGCTTGTGGGCCTCCTACAAGCATTTGATCAACTAGTGTGGGAAACAGGATTCTGGACCAGATGGACCCTTGGGTCTGATCCAGCAATTCTCTTTTTATGTTCTTTGGTTGTGGTTCCTAAGCAATAGTGTAAATCACACTAGCTCTGGAGGTAGTAATGTTTCCAAATACCACTTGCCGAGAAACAACAGGAAAGTGAGCACCCTTGTGCTCAGATCTTTCTTGCGGGCTTCCCACAGATATTTGGTTTGCTGCTATCAGAACAGAATTCTGGATTAGATGTTCTTCTAAGATGTAGTGATTTTAAAAATCACTGACTATGGAAGAAATACAGTGGTGTCCCCAAGATAATTCAGCCTGCCCCACCACTTTTGGGTGGGGGGAGTGGATTGAACTTACCAACTCTGAGACGGAAATTGTTGAATGAGTGCCTGTTGATGCCATCCAGCTTAGTCATCAAAGCCATTGCAAATTCCACCATGATGCCAATTTGAGCATGCTGTCTTTCCTGGTCCTAAACAATATTTTGGGGCAGGAGGGAGAGTGTTAAGAGGATCTTTGCTTTAAGTTATTAGTGCAAGGTAGGGAACCTGTGGCCCTCCAGGTTGTTTTGGCACTCACAACTCCCATCAGCCCCAGCCAGAAGGGGTTTTTTAGTCCAATGACATCTTGATGGCCAGAGGTAGCTACCCCTCCACTAATGGAGTGCAGACATAGGCATATCCTAGAACTGCAGGTAAAGCAGTGGACACCTACATTCCTCTCTTTGCTTAAAGTAAGGTAAAGGGCCCCCTGGTCATTAGGTCCAGTCACAGACGACTCTGGGGTTGCGGCACTCATCTCACTTTACTGGCTGAGGGAGCCGGTGTACAGCTTCTGGGCCATGTGGCCAGCAAGACTAAGCCGCTTCTGTTGAAACCAGAGCAGCGCACAGAAACACCATTTACCGTCCCGCCGGAGTGGTACCTATTTATCTACTTGCACTTTGACATGCTTTTGAACTGCTAGGTTGGCAGGAGCAGGGACCGAGCAACGGGAGCTCACCCCGTCGCGGGGATTCGAACCACTGACCTTCTGATCAGCAAGCCCTAGGCTCAGTGGTTTAGACCACAGCGCCACCTGCGTCCCTTTTCTGCTTAAAGTAGCTGGTAACAAAACTCACATTTATTTATTTATTTCATTTTCTTTATTGCATTTATATCCCACCTTTTTCTCCAATGAGTTCAAGGGGGCACACATGGTTCTCCCCCCCTCCTTCTTTAATCCTCACAACAACCCTGTGAGGTAGGCCAAGCTGGGAGGCAGTGACTGGCTCAAGGTCACCCAGGGAGCTTCATGGTTGAGTGGGGATTAGAACCCTGATTTCTCTTTCTCTTTCTCTTTCTCTTTCTCTCTCTCCCCCCCCCCCACGCTATCAAAGTGGCTTGTATTTCAGCAGGTGACTTACCAGATTATTCTCTTGGCCTGGGGTAACACAGAGTCCTGATGCTGCCATGTATGTACTTCCAATAGTTTTGATTTTTTCAACACCACTGAATTTAGGTTTCAGCAACAGCTGTTTGGGGGAAAAATGAGAAAACAATTAAAATCCAGGACCTGGATGATTCTTTTTCCTGTTACAGTCTTCTCACAGACCAGAGTTTCCAGTGGAATAAGCTAGACAAGGGGAAGAGGCTATACTGCTCAAGATAGGGCTGGTTTTCCTGCTACATTTTTTTTTTACTTCATACCGATCACCAAGTACAAAATACATGGGAAGGATGCGTGGGTTTTAAGATTTGGTTGTGTGTTTCTGACTTCCCCAATAGGTTGATTAATATGCCTGCATGAAGACACCCACCCACACCCCTTTCATCGTGTTTTGACCCTTGATGGCAACCCTTTCAAGATAAGGTTGTAGAAGTAGGTGCGTCATCTTGCTCAAGCATGCAAATCAAACCATGGTTCTCTGGTTCAAGGATACTTTTCTTTATATGACACACTCCACCCAACCCCCTGGAACGTAAGAAGCTGCTTTATACCCAGGTCAACTGGAAGGAAAACAAGGCTCTTAATAGCTGCTAGTCAGGATGACTATGAAGTATCAGATCCAGGATCAGAACCAGCATGCCTCTTGTTGGGGAACAAGAGTGAAGGAGGGCTGCTGTCCTCCTGTCCTGAATGTGAGCTTCCCTGATTGGACCCTGTGGGGAAGGGAATGCGGGGCTAGTTGGACTGATGGTCTGATCCAGCAGGGCTCTCAGTATGTAAGAACTCTCAGGCTCAGTATGTAAGAACTCTCAGTGTTGTGTTCTCTGACTGGCAACGACTCTCCAAGGTTCTTGGAGATCCTTCTTACTCAGGGGTCAGGAACTTGTGGCCTTCCACAGTTGCTGGTGGACCACAAATCCCATTCTCTCCGTCCACTGAACATGGTGGCTGGAGCTGATGGGAGATGGGAGGACCACAGTTTCCCCCATCCCTGAAACATAGGAAGCTGTTTCCTACAGAAGCAGAACATTGGGTCCATTTTGCTCAATATTCGTCCATGCTGACTGGCTCTCCAGGGTTTCAGAAGGGATTCCCATCCATACCTGGAGATGCCAGGGACTGAACCAGGAACCTTCTGCATTCAAAGCATGTGTTGTCTCACTGAATTATGATACACCTTTCTGCTGCATATCCAACCAGTCACATTTTTTAAGTGCTGCCAAGCAGGCTCCAAGGACCTTCCTCACATGACTCAAGAAGCCAATTCTCTCCTCTGTGGAGAAGAAGATCTCTCTTCACTACACTGAAGTCTTGAGGGGAGGAGAATACTCATTTCTGGTTATTTAACATGGGGCAGGGGGGCAGGGCGGGCAGAGAGAGAACCAATCCCAACACCAAGAGGTCCACACAAGCCTCAAGAGGTACCTCATCAAAATCGGCAATTATTTCATTGAGGAGTCGAAGGCACTCCAGCCCTTCCTTGTTGACATCACATTCTGTGTAGAACACCTTGAAGTCGGGTACTGAGGCAAACATGACACAGACACAGTCATAGGATTGATGGTACCAATCCTGCAGGAAATGCAACAACAGTTTCAACAATATCATTGTTCGCTACCAGTCGCTCCCATCTCCCCATACAACTAAAGCAACACTGTCTAAGCACATGTAAATTCAAAGAAGTAAGTGTACGCTAGGTGTCAGAAATCTCAGATCTACAATTTCCAGAGTGGTTTAGCAACCGCTCCTTCTTCCCAGGGAATTTTGAGAATTGTAGCTTTGTGACGGAAATTTGTCGCTCTTAATGACACTCTTAACAAACAACAGCTTCCAGAAGTCTTTGGGGTAAGCCATGACTTTAAAGTGGTTGAGCACTACAGGTGTATATTATGAATGATACCCAAGATTTATTTTGCTTTTTAGATCATGGAGCTTCTACTGCTTTGTCCTCGTGCTCTTTTCAACATGTGATCTCTTAAAGATTAGCAGAGGAGTGAACGAAAGCACATGGGGCAATGTGAATCTTATTGTTCTATACCTCGTTTAATTTGTCTCCGATAAAATGGGCAGCAACGTGAGCTGGGAGCACATTCTCCAGCAGCAGCCGGTTTACGTTTTCCATGGTTTCAAACGACTCGTGTTCCTGTTTAAATTTATTCTTTTGTAGGCAGTCCAGACGACAGTAATAGTCTATCTGCAAAAAACAAATAAACCAAGGAATTATGGAACTCAGCCTTAATATCAGCAAGCTGAAAATACTAGAAAAAAGCTTTGTGTACTTGCAGCAAACTTGTTTAATGCCTTGTGGGTTCAGAGGCTCCATGACATTTTTAATGTCCATGAAATCAACTGTTCCTCCTTCAAAAGCTTGAAATCTTTTAAAATAAGAGACTTGACCAATAAGCCAAGCATTTAACCCCTGACGCCCCAAATTGCACCCCACACATTTTCTTCCCCATGCAAGCCAAGTGTGTTGTTGTTGTTTAGTCGTTTAGTCGTGTCCGACTCTTCGTGACCCCATGGACCAGAGCACGCCAGGCACCTCTGTCCTCCACTACCTCCCGCAGTTTGGTCAAACTCATGCTGGTAACCTCGAAAACACTATCCAACCATCTCGTCCTCTGTCTCCCCCTTCTCCTTGTGCCCTCCATCTTTCCCAGCATCAGTGTCTTCTCCAGGGAGTCTTCTCTTCTCATGAGGTGGCCAAAGTACTGGAGCCTCAGCTTCACGATCTGTCCATCCAGTGAGCACTCAGGGCTGATTTCCTTAAGAATGGATGCGTTTGATCTTCTTGCAGTCCATGGGACTCTCAAGAGTCTTCTCCAGCACCATAATTCAAAAGCATCAATTCTTCGGCGATCAGCCTTCTTTATGGTCCAGCTCTCACTTCCATACAAATAAGCCAAGTGTACTAAGCCACAAACAAATGCCCATATTCCTGTACACGTGCACCATTCATTAACTGTCTAACATGCTCCCACAAGCCACATTTCTATTTTAAATCGTACCTAATTATTTATCCCAAATCATTGCGCTGTGTTTCCCAGACCTGCCTCAGCTGTCATTAAGACATCATCATCACTAGTAACAGCCTCACAGATTTGATCTCCGTGCTAGTGGGACTTTCCACCGTTCAAAACCGACTGCCAAACGGAGGAAGCACAACTCACAGGCATAAAGAGACTGTGGGCACTTCAGAACAAATCCTATCGTGTCTGATTTGTTACAAAATGCAGCAGATCCGGAAAACACCACAAAATAATTTTGCAGGGATACCCATAGTGAAGTATTTTTTAAAAACAACAACACAAATTTCCCCCAGCTGCAGACTAAAACGGTACCATCCATTCTACCATTTGAGAACTATTTATTTATTCAGTCTTATTCTTATTTATTTATTTAATCAATCTTTCCACATACCACAGTAAGAAGAAAAAAAGGTTCGGAATGTCACATCACAAATAAACTGAAGACAGAAAGCTCTGGGCAAATCACACACCTATGAGGACTGGGTTGCCTACCTGTTTTGACAGTAGAACCAAAGTTATGTAAAACAGAGCCAGGTATAAATTTGTCATTATTCTTGGTTCTTTCATAAAAAACCTAAAACAAAAAGCAAACGAAAACATTCGTTTTAAAAGGGTTTGGAACTATGTGTGAAACACCCATGCTTAAATGTTTGGAAATGCATCTCTAAAACGTTCAAAGTTTCAAGCAATACAGAGGACTACAAACAAGAGTTTGCCAGATTGCACGTTGGAACCATTCACAAGACACAAAGACACCCATCCACAGTAGAAAAGAAATTAAATTACTGTCAAATATTGTCTCCTGCAAGGGGGGGGGGGACACCCCTGGGTTTGTAGGGTTAAGTAAATGCCACTGCCATCCACTTCTGAGTTTGATACTCGGATAAATACTACTCTCAAGGGCAAGGGGTCAAAATGGAAGACAGGCTTGCAGCATTTCCAGCCCATGAAACAAAAATTATTTGATGGGGCTTTTTTTCCAGTTTGAGATTTGATTGGGCAAATTCCACATTATGCACCATCTTGAACGGGTGTCAGAGAGAGAATAAGTTGGTAAACATAAAATAGTGGATTCCCCATTACCCTCACAGCACTACGATTCCCAGAGCTCCCTGTAAAGAGGAATTGGTTGTTAAACTACTCTGTAAATTGTAGCTCTGTGAGAGGGAATAGGGGTCTCCTAATGCTCTGAGCAGGGACGCGGGTGGCGCTGTGGGTAAAAGCCTCAGCGCCTAGGGCTTGCCGATCGAAAGGTCGGTGGTTCGAATCCCCGTGGCGGGGTGCGCTCCCGCTGCTCGGTCCCAGCGCCTGCCAACCTAGCAGTTCGAAAGCACCCCCGGGTGCAAGTAGATAAATAGGGACCGCTTACTGGCGGGAAGGTAAATGGCGTTTCCATGTGCTGCGCTGGCTCGCCAGATGCAGCTTGTCACGCTGGCCACGTGACCCGGAAGTGTCTCCGGACAGCGCTGGCCCCCCGGCCTCTTGAGTGAGATGAGCGCACAACCCCAGAGTCTGTCAAGACTGGCCCGTACGGGCAGGGGTACCTTTACCTTTACTTAATGCTCTGAGCACCCAGGATTCCTTGCAGGAAGCCATGGCTATTTAAAGTCATATTGTAGCACTTTAACTGTATGGTGCAGGTGGGCCAAGAGAGAAAAGCAACGAGGTGACCTCCCAAGTTCATCACCGATGAACACAATGATAAGTAAGGAGGCCATTTAGTGTCTGCTCTAGTCTGACTTGGCACAAGGCAATTTCCTGTGTTTGCATGAAAATGGCAGAGTGGTTTAAACATCTGAAAATGCTTCAGGTAGGAGGAAGAAGGTCTTGTGCGACATGTTGCGGTGACAGCAAATGCATTGCAACACTAGCGTAATCATTATCCACACAATACCCAATAACTCAACTTTTTCACTGGTGGAAAAGGGTTCCTAATGCAGCTAATGTCACCATGCTGCAGCATACTTTGGGTCTGTTCCCAGCTTCTTAAGAAACTGTAATCTCTGAGATCACTTCCTGGAGCAGCAGTTTGCAATTCCACTAAGCTCACCATCAGCTTACAAAGTGTTGTTACCATTGAGAAGCAAGATACCGTACCTTGTGGTGGAGTCACTGACGTTGCTGCGGCTGGAGCACAAAAGCAGGTTGCTATTAAATACAATGAAATACCCAACAACGGCTCCTGACAAAAGGATAAGCTTCAGTTCAAAGCTCATTCGAAGGAACACAGAGCAGGCGATGAAACCCAGAAGGCAGCAGTAGGTATAATACTGGAACAGAAGAGGAGTGGCTTTAAAAAAACACGTATATATATATAAATATATATATATGTATATGTGTTTGTGTGTATAAATAATATCATGGCACACTGATTGCCTATGTAGTCATGTCCTAGGTAAGGGCAAATTTGTCAATTTTGGCTTCTCTCAGTTTCTCATTTCTCCAATCCTAAATTCTGCTCTCCACATTTTCATATCTGTTTTTTTTTAAAAAATTGCAAAGTCCTCATGAAAATTCATACATATTTACATGAAATTTTCTCCCCCACCCCACCCCTACCCAGTGGCCACATCCATTAGAAATCAAGCCAGCCCATTCTCTGCATTGCCCAAACTTGAGTTGTTTCTTGATCGTGCTGGAGCACAAGGGAATGTTGGCATTGGAAAAGCTAGGCAATCTCACTTTTCTGCAGTGGCCAGAAGCCAAGCAGAGAGAACCAGCAGCCTGCTTTTGCACAAGTGTTGGTATTTTTTTGAGCAATTCTCTCCAGCATGTATCTAAACCCATATTTTAAGTTCAAATTTACTCACTGAGTAGGTCTCAGCTTCAATTCTCAGCATGTCGCTGTTTTCAGAAGAACTGTTGCCAACCTGCTGCTTTGTTAGAGCAGGAGAGAAAGAGAAAGAGAAAGAGAAGAGAGAGAGAGAATTGTTTGTTTCTATGGCAGGCCAGGATCCATCAACATGCAGAGCAAAATGATTAATCGACAAGACTGTCTGGTGGTTGGCTAAAGAAAACATGGAGCTGTTGTGACTTGAACCATAATGCATATTTCAGAACGGAGCAGCTCAAGGATGAACACAGGGACATGGGAAGCTACCTTATACTGAGTCGAACCATTGGTCCGTCTTCTTCAGTACTGCCTACACTGATGAGCAGCAGCTCTCCATGGTTTCAGGCAGGGGTCTCTCCCTACCTGGAGACGCCAGGGATTGAACCTGGGCCCTTCTGCATGCAAAGCAGATGCTTTCCATCTAAGCCAGCCTTTCTCAACCTGTGGGTCCCCAGATGTTGTTGGACTACAACTCCCATCATCCCTAGCTAGCAAGGCCAGAGCTCAGGGATGATGGGAGTTGTAGTCCAACAACATCTGGGGACCCACAGGTTGAGAACCGCTGACTGAGCAATGGCCCTTCTCCATGCCTTGATTGTGAGGTAGGCTCTCTCTCTCTCAAGTGTGAATTTCATTCATTTATTTTTGACCGGTGACACCACCACACTTTTTGGGGGGCCAAGGGTTCTGAACGAGGAACATGAGCAATTTAAAATACAACCAAAGGATTCCAAGACTGAGAAGCTGAATAAATCATTAGGGTAATTTTTTTTAAAAAAACTCGTTTTGTTTTGTTGTGCACATGAAAGGAGAAATAAAATGTAACAGTGAAATGCAAAGAGAAAGGTCATAGAAAAGCTAGATGGTTAGAGCACCAGTAATTTTTAAAAAGTTTGCATTTTAAATAAGAAATAGATCTCCAATCTTGGACTACCAAACCAAAGGTTATTAATATAGCAAACAAAACTTGCTTTTTAAAACTCACCAGGTTTGGTGTAGTACAGTTTCCAATAGTCTGGTCTGTGTGCTAATTAAAAAATTAGAATATAGTTAGGAATTCAAATACGTAGCTTTATTATAAAACAATGGCAGTTATCACCAACGCGTCCAGTCACTGAAAGGATTTCCACTTGTGCCGTGGGACTTCTCCTCCCCCCTCTCCTCCTGCCATGTGTGCCCCGTATCCTTCCCCAAATCTGCTTTGGAGAACTGCGAAAATGCCTAGAAAGATTTAGGTGGCACGTTGGGAGAGGAAGGGGGGAATTATATTGCACTACTATAAATCCTTGCACTGATGGGACAAGTTAGTGCTACTTAGGACACAACCCGATGGATAAGAGTCTTAGCTAAAAAAATCTGCAATCCCGCCCTTTATGGTGAACAAATGAACTGGCTGATGCCAGTTGATAGATCTATGCACCCTTTGTATAATCCATATTTAAGGTTGTTGAAGCTACTAGTCATTATCACAGCTTGTGGCAATGAATTAAGCTCTTGAAATCACTTAGTTCCTTAGTCTTACTTGAAACGTTAAGAACATAAGAGCTTGCTGGATCAGTGGCCAACCAGAGGCAGGTGGGAAACCAGCAAGCAGGATTGGAGCACAAGATCACTCTCCCCTCTCCCTTTCCAGAAACTGCTTTTCAAGAGCATTACTGCCTCCAACCATGGAAGCAGAGAATAGCCATCATGGTTAGTAGCTGCTGAGAGCCCTTTCCTCCAGGAATTTGTCTAAGGCTCTTTTAAGCCTTCTAGGTTGATGATCATCACTGCCTTCTGAGTTCCACAGTTTAATTATGTGCTGCATAGTTTAAAATTCTGCAGAAGCAGAACATTGTTGTGCAAGAGAATGCATAGGCAGGTTGCTGGTAGCTCTGCTGCACAACAGATTGTGCAATTCCTCTGTTGCGTAATATTAAAACTCACCTGTCTGCTAGTGCAAGAGACCTTCTGCTAGCAGGCAGAGAATGCTGAGGAAGTCTATTCATTTTTTTAATTCTCTTTGCAAACTGCTTTTTTGGGGGGGTTGCTTTTGCCTTTAGAGTCAAGCGGTGTATATATTTTATGGAATAATAAAGAAAAAAAAGACCAGTGAAAGGAATTACCAAGTTAGAAACAGCTAGGATTAACAGAGAGCCGATTGCAATAGTGGCCAGTGGGAGCCTCACGGCTGGCATCGTCTCCATTTTCTCTGAAAGCGTGCGGAGATAGCGGGCTGGGGGCCACTGCTTTGAACAGGGTCTCTGCAAACAGACGACAGAGGCACAGCATGACACATAAACACACCAGCTCTTGCCTCCTTCCCTATAACCATGCTACAGCAACAAATGTTTGACATTTTCTGTTGTTTACAGGAGGTGATTCCTTACACACAGTTCTTAAAATGGCCATACTTCTCTCCCTCCAGCAGCTGCCAATGCCGCAAGGCCATTGTTTACTAGCAACGTGGTTTTGTATAGCAGAAGGGGGTCATGTGGCTTTCCAGTGCAAGATGAATGGGAAGGCAGGTCCTTTCCCCTAAGGAGCGACTTCCCCAATACCAACCACAATGGGCCCTGTGATTGGCAGGCAGGGCATGCCCTCTTGGTGGTGGTGTCTCCTCCAGCAGCAGCCCAACTGCAGGGCCTTTTCGGTGGTGCCTCCCTGTTTGTGGAATGCCTTACCTGGTGAGGTGTGCCTGCCTCCCCCACTACTGATGTTCAGGAGAAATCTAAACACATTCCCGCTTAAGCCGGGCAGACAATGGCTGATAGATATTGGCTGTGGCAACCTTGAAATTAGTATCTGTAAATGTGGCCCTCATGTTAAAAAAAGCAAGTTCCACAACCATAGACTAAGCAGTTCTTAGGATCCAGATCAACAGCCCCGGGTAGAAATAATACGTGGAGATTTTTACAAGCACAGCTGGTATTACATTTACCCCAGTGGATAAACAAATTTCAATGCAAATGCATTTAAGGCAAACACATACTATCTGGCAGTACAATTTTGTTTTCTTTTCTTTTAATGCTTTGGACATTTTATTTTATTTTTATTTTTTACTTACCCAACAGTCATCAGCGAAGCACACACACAAAATTAGCCCCATTATGATAGCTACGACCCCAAATGGAATCCCTAATTTTGACGTTCTGAAAGAGAGGAAGGGGTGGGTGGAAACAGATGATGAAGAGCTAAAGAAAAATGTTATTCATGCTTCGATAGTCGTGAGTTCCTGGGGGAATATATAATCCATTTGATAGCCAAGTTGCTTGCAGGTTTTGTTTCTGACTTTCAAAGCTAATTGAGCAGCACTCCCCCCCCCCCCAAAACCTGAAATGTTAGAATCTCTCCAACACTCTCTGTTTAAAGCATTACATTTGCCTGCAGTTAGCAAGGCTGGTAGTTCAGGATATTACCCAAGGCAATAACACCCTAGCACCAAAAAGACAAGGAGGCAAATTTCCTTGGTTCTGCATCTCCAGTTACATACCATCCTCTCTATTCATTCCTGTCATCTAGAGCGGGAACATGGGCTGCTAATCGGGGCCATCTGGACTCCCATCTTGGGCACAGAACCATAATCTGGTGGAACAGTACATGCTTTGCAAGCAGACGATGCCAGGTTCAATCCCTTGCGGCTGCTGTTAAAAGGATCTCTCAGGTGGAAGTGATATAAAGGGCCTCTATCTGAAACCTTCAAGAGCCAACTGCTGGCCAGAGGAGGCAGCACTGAATCAGTAACAGCAGTGCAGTGGCAAACAGTAGTGTAATGCAGTGGCCTGGGCCCACTCGACTGCTTCAATTGGCGGAAGTGGAACTACTGCAGGAGCCCCCCCCCCCATTACCTGTCCCACCTTTGTAAGAACTCAATCATATAGTGAAGCAGGATTTGCACTTTGGAACTCCCTGCCTGTTGAGATCAAGCAAGCACTTTTGCTATACCCTTTTTGATGCCTGCTAAACACGTTACTGTTTAGCTGTTTAAAAAGTTGAGGTGATTTTAATCCGTTTTAGTATTTTAACTTTTGTTATCTTTTAAAGGTAGGGTTTTTATCTTTTTGTAAACTGCTTTGAGGGTGTGGGTTTTTTTAAAAAACAATGAAGCAGTGTACAGTTTTCATTAAATAAAAATAAAAATAATCTCAAACGCAGGGTCTCTTCATGATTCTCACAGCCATGCCCCCCCCCCCACAGCTACACCCCATTCTAAGATCATGCAACCTTCTAAGCTTATACAATAATAATATTGTTGTTGTTTCCTTGGTCCTGGTATATCTGAAAATCAATAAAATATGGTTTTAAAATGCAATAACAATCAATAGGGATGCATTGCAGAAATCAATGTAAATCTCCTTTCAGCTAGATCTATTTTCTGTGCACGTACATGAGCAAACCATCTGGAGTACCTTCTGTCGGAGTGAATTTTAGTTGTGTTTTCCTTGAAGTTCCGCTGTATGGAACAGAACTTGCACACCAGTCTCTTGAAACCGAAGCACCTGGCATCTTCAGTGTTCCTACATGCTTAGCTTTGGAGCATATGGAACAACTGCCTCGGCTTGCCTACATGTTTTTAGCAGGGGCTGAAAAGAATACAGTGGAGGAGCCTGGCTGATATCAATAGGCGGGGAGTTCCAAAGCTGTGGGTGCTGCCTCACTATATGATCCAAGTTCTTACAAATGGAGGACGTCTATTACGTAGCAGCCGTAACAGTGCCAATTCTGCAGCCTGGGGCCAGGGGGCAGCATTAACTACTTCAATCTTTGTATTACATTAAACTTCCCCTGTAGCAGATTTGTATACAACGTATTTAAAAAGGAAAGGGGGGGGGATGACTTACCCTTGCATTATGGAGATCTGTACAAGGAACATACACAGCAACACAATGCTGGCGCAGGCAAAATAGCCCCTCAGCTTGGGGATCGGGATTGTGCGATACTGGAGATGGGGAAACAAAACAAAGACGTTAGTTTGGATTTACATAATTTTGGTCAGCTCATAAGGACTAGGTTTCTTGGGTGCTGTATGCAACTTCTAGACAAAAAGAGCCTAATATCAAACAAGTTCTTTGTTACAGCCACAAGAAGACACGAATGTTAGAACCTGACAACTTAAAAAAGGCAAATTAAATGAATAGTTCTTATTCCTCCTCTCTTAAAGGAATGGTGAGGAAGAGAAAGGAGGAAGATCAAAAATAAAACCTATGTTGTCTCCCAGTTTGTTGTACTATCCCTGTGAGGGTTTGGGCAGGAGGACTGAGTTCCGGTGTTGTCTTACCATCTCAGCATTTCAGAAACGAGCATTGGTGTTGGTGTGACACCAGGGACAAGCAGTGCACCCAAGACACAACGGGTACTTGAACAAGAAAGGCGGGAAAGTCAAGCGGGTGTGGGAGTGGGGCAGAGGCAGTGAAGAGTGGAAGTTGCAAGAAATGACGAAGACCTAAGTGAGCTTTGCTTTCTGGGGAGATTACAGAGCGTAAGAAAGGACAGATTTATTGAGCCAGAGAGTATGCATTGTGAACACTTTGGCCTCTCTGATGAATTAAGTCCTCCCTAGGTCAAGGCTGGGAGTTTGGCTGTGTACACACTAGCCTGTTTATAGCACACAAAAAATGTAGTTTTTCCTCAATCCAGAATCAAAGAACTGAAGAGCTGGAAGGGATCCCTTGGGATCACCATTCTAGTCCAACCACATTTTATAGGTAGGTTTTTTATATTTGCAAAAACCACAGCTAAAGGATCCCTGGGCCACCCAAGCTCTGTTTAAAAACCTCCAATGAAGGAAGTCCACCACCTTCTGAGGGAGTTCGTTCCATCAGTAAATAGTTCTTACTGTTAGTAAGGTCTTCCTAATGTTTAGCTGGAATCTCCTTTCTTGCAATTTGAGTCCATTTGTTCTGGAACTACCCTCTGGAGCAGCAGAAACAAGCTTGCTCCCTTTTCCAGGTGACAGACCTTCAGATATTTAAAGTTAGCAATCATATCCTCTGAGCAGATTTATCAGAAAAGTAGTTCTTCAGACTTCCCAAAAGGAGTTTCTGGTGGTGCTCAACCTTTCAAAGGGTAAGATGAGGAGGACCCGACGATTCGAGTAACAAGGTGATACCCCAAGGAAGAATCAGGTTGCTTCTCTGTGGTGCCAATGGAGGATGGATGCATGGAAGTTCCTGCCTCAGGGGGGCTGGGCCACCTTCCACCCCCGAGATTCTACAAACAGGAAGGCCACAAAGCTTCGTTTACTAACCTCTTTCTCAAGCTCCATTTCTACAAAACACAGCAAGAACCCACACAGCCCACGGAAGTCGTCTTTTTTACCACACCACGGCCTGCATTGAAGAAGAAATGCTTGTTGAAAACATATGCACGGGAGCAGGATAAAACGATGCAGAGCAAGATGGAACCGCAAAAAGGTACGTGTGGGGAGGGAACTTGGACTCCCCAAAGCACAAACAACTGAGAAGACCCATAAATAAGATCTCACCACTGCCATCAACTCAGTAAGCAGCCTTAGGGACGTGGTCCCCATTCCAGACTAAGACTCACCCCACATCTATGCCATACGGACTATCTTACAAGATTATTGTTGTGAAAATAACTAAAGCACTATGAATACCCTAGAGTAGGTATCTTCCAGCTTTACAAACCCAGGACCCACTTTTAAGCCAAACATACATCCGGGGACCATTTCTTAATCTCCTGGCATACATCTGCGTGGCTGTGACCCAGTAGTGGGCCCCAATTCTTCAGTGGAAGACCAGCGCTCTAAGACCACTGTTATTCTAAGTCAGGGATGGGGAACCTCCAGCCTCCTAATTTGGCCCTCAATGTGATTTTCTGCATCGCTACCCCTGGCTACACACATCTGTGGAGAAACAACTGAGAGCCCTAAAAAGGGCTGCCGGTTGTTCCTCTGCAAGTGGAGTTTGCCTTCAGCATGTACTTAATTTGGCACCAAAAGCAAGTCCTGCTAGGATTGGCTCTACTCAGGAGTTCTCGACTGGAGCCAATCCCTGCTAAAAGTGAGGGTCTTTGCACCCCTTGAACTCACAGAAGAACCCTGAATTCAGGCCAGGGCTGCAGAGGTGGGAGGAGACCTTGCAGATATTTGCAGAGAACTCTGGAATTCCATTTGTGTACTTCTGATCTGAAGTTTGTACTGTGCAATTTTTCAAAAAGCTGCATTTCTTAGGATTACCTAGTATTGCCAGAGATAATAAGCAGCAGGGTGTCATGTGAATCCCTTGACATCTGTATTGTGTTAACCTGAAGACTCTTACTCTGAACTCAAAAAGCTTCCTGATTTCACAAGTGCTCTTAAGGAGCCGGAGTAATAAACTTCCTAATTAATAGTCATGTCATAAGAGGACATTTCTCAATTTCCTGTTTTGTCAAGCCCACTTCTGGTTTTCTACTTTTTTGTTCTTCTCAAAACTGAGCCGACCGAGGGTTTTGTAGCAGTCAGACAGCTGTGAGCTGTGTTTTCAACACAGGGTAATTCTGATTATTTAAACCAGTGTTTTAGGACTACAATTCTGGGAACCTGAAACCTATGCAGAAGTGCAGCGTTCTTTATGCTTAACCCCATAACCTGTTTTCCATGTTACAGTTCACTGAAAAGGCAGCAGCAGAGGAGTGTGTTTGCTTATCACTGAAGAAAACACAATCTGTTTTCTCCACACGCATTTATGACGAAGGGGCGTTATTTCTAAGTAGGCCTGCACTCCCATACTACTGAAAATAAGCATGGGGAAAATCCCTGGTCTTCTCTGCCCCTCCCCTTCTGCAGATGAGTCAATTCTCTCAAGGACAGGAAGAAAAGAGTGGTGCCTTTACTTGGCTGAACTGAGGCCCTCGATGGTTGACATCATTTTGTCGTTAATTTCTTCTTCCATCCTTCCTTTCTGAGAGGTATTCCTAAGGACAGGCAGAGAAACATCGTCCAGATGAAACGTTTCCCCAAAATGCAGGAGAACAGGTGCACTGAGTAATCGTTACATACCTTTTAATTACATTTTGCAGAAGCAAAAGCTGAAAATGCATGCTGGCCAATTTTAAATAAAGGGGCCCCAAGGTATCTCAAGTATTGCTTAGATATAGATATAGTGCAGAGAGAGGAGAAAGTAGCAAGGGAGTATCCAGTTGTTCTATGGCACAAGGCATACACAGAAAGCAGAAGAAAGAAAGAGAAACTCACTTATAGCTTACAACTGAAGGAGGACACAGTGGTTCTTGTCTAGACCTATCCAGACTAACACACACACACAAACACAGGGAAAGAGAAAGGAGAGAGAAATTTGATGTCATGCATTGATTAGAAATGATCAGATTAATCACCTATGCAAAGACTAATGTTATAGCAGCCTGTCTTCATAAGGTGGACAAAATAAAAGCAAACATCTCAAGTTTGGTTTTTTTGGGGGGAAATCTCTGTGTTGCGTCCTGAAAAAGTGTGGAGTCCTAAAGTAATGTGCAAGAGCGTGTTTTTAAAGCAAAAATTTGATTTGTTTGTTGTGAACAAAATAACTAATGAGCATGGAGTAAACCTGTCTGTTTCTCACCTGAGATGATACAGCAGTTGGAAGCTCTACCTACATCTGATGTTGCAGAGCAACCTTTGACCCTGAGGTAGTGCGTGATCTAGGAATGGCTGGGAGAAAAAGCTGAAGGATCTAGGATACTGTTTCCCCCTCTTTGCCCAGCCCTTGTCTGATGTCACTTGATTCGTTCACAGATAATTTCATGCTAAGGGATGAAGGGAGGAATCCATTTTAAACCAATTTATACGCAGAACTTGGTGGTTCCAGCCTGATTGAGCTTTGCTCACATCAAATTGCCTCTTGTATTGAGCCAGTAGTTATCAGAGCCATTTCTGCGATATTGGGGGCATTGCCCCCCTCCCAAACCCTAAATATATGTGAAGCTATATAAACAAAATACAAATATTACATAAAAGTCAAGGCTCCTGCATAATTTTACAAATATGTTGCCTAACACATACACATTTTTGCATGTACTTGTCTATGTGCCAGTTATTTCAGGAAACCTGGAGTACATGCACATATAATAGTATATATACAATAATGTGTATGAGCACTGTTAAGATTTATAGCTGATGCTCGGGGGGGGGGGGAGGAGAGGGAAGGCTTCCAATCAAAATTAATGAGAAAGATGTGATTAGAAAAAATCCGTGCAGATAAGCTATAGAGATTTTCAGAAAATTCCATCCTTACTCATGCTTCTGCTGCCTGGCTCTGCTGAGGAGTCTAGAGTATGAGAGAGAAATAGAAATAGAAATAGAAATAGAAATAGAAATAGAAATAGAAATAGAAATAGAAATAGAAATAGAAATAGAAATAGAAATAGAAATAGAAATAGAAATAGAAATAGAAATAGAAATAGAAATAGAAATAGAAATAGAAATAGAAATAGAAATAGAAATAGAAATAGAAATAGAAATAGAAATAGAAATAAATAAATAAATAGAAATATAGACGTAGAAATATAGAAATATAGAAATATAGACATAGAAATATAGAAATAGAGATGGAAAAGAAGGGTGCAGCTTGCTAAGTGCTGAGGATTTCTTCTCTTCACTTGCCTTGGTTCACCCAGAGCTCAAAGTGATACCGCTCTGCTTGAGAGACTAAATTCAGGGACTGTATGTGGAGTTGGGGGTGAGAAAGTGAGAAGAACCACAGCTGCCTGAACACTGGGTAAATAAAGTGACAAAAGAAAGAGCACAGGAGGAAAACACCGCCCAAGTCCATTTGCTCACTTCCTCAGACACATTTGTCTGCTTCTGCCAGAGCTAGCTGCACATAACATTTAGTCCAGCAGTTTGTTTGCCACAGTTTGCCAGGTAAATGCAGACTTATGTGCGCTCCCCTGTTGCCTGTTAACAGCACCGGATTTTCAGGGTTATACTGCCTTTGGGCTTGGTTCCATTTAGCTATTAGAGCTAAATTGGATAGACCTCATCTTCCAGGAATTTTTCTAACCATTTTAAAAGCCATCTCTGAGCCTAACTATGCAATGTAATGGAAGTAAACACTGATTGCTTGCTATTTTAGGAGCGGGGTGGATTTTCAGTGGAGAATCAGCTAAGGAGAGGTGTGCTTAACCCCTCCACAACTCACTGTAACTCCTTTCCCTCTAAGCCACTCACTCTCCGCCTGACAACTTTGTTTTATTTTGGAGGATAATGTCTAGGGAGGAAATCCTAAAGGTGGCAACCCTAGTATGGGGTGATTTTTTAAAGAAAAAATTAATTTTCTCGCATGAAAACCTTCACGAGGGCACTCCTCTGCTAAAAATAGTAAATCTGAAGTCAAACAGTGCAGAGAGAAGAATCAGCCAAATCTAATACAAAAATCAAGACAATAATATGCAGCCTACTTCTGCTAAAGTCACAGAGGAATATTGTGCAGAATAAGAAGAACATTCCAAAGAAAATGATTCAGAGACCACATGCAGTGGAGTTACTGAGCCTTCAGTAAGATCTGCAAACCAATTTATGTGCTACACAAGACAGGGCCTTCTTGACAGGGGCACCAAAGTTGTACAACTCCATCTTCACTGACCTTTCAGATGCTTAGCAAAAGGGCTTCTCTTCCAAGGAGGTCCCAGAGCCTTTTCTTACTGTAAACATCTTATATTATGTTGGTTGTTCTGGCTTAGTAATAGTAGTAGTAGTAACTTTCTAGCTGCCTTATTAATCACAGTTCTGGAAGGTGGGGTATATATATGTGTGTGTGTGTGTGTCTGTACACACACTGTACACACACACACAACACCACAACACAGAAGGATCTAACATGTGTTATAACCATGCATGACTTGCCTCTCTGTAGTCCTCTGACGGCTCACCAACTGCAGTGCTATCTCCTAAGCAAGAGAGAAAAGATAGGGGATTAATGCTTTCCCAACCCTCCCTCTTAACGCATGTAAATATAATTTAATTAATTCAACAAGCAAAATATGTTCAGTGCTGCACAGAAGAGCCCCTGACCTGTGAGTTTCCCATAACATAGAAAGTATATTTTAAACGGTTGGCTGAGTTTCTGCATCTGTAACATAAGGGGCTGGCTTCCTCTCAGGAAGTGGCATGAAGGGGGAACAAACCTAAGATTCGTGTCATTTGCAAGACTGCCTAGGTAAGGAAGCAGATGCCCTACGTGACCTGACATTTATAGCTTTATTCACTTTTGCTACGAAAATATCTATTTTATATTTGCTTTCTGAATGCAATTTTATGGTTGATCTTATGCTGCTCTTCGCTGTGATATTTTCTCTTAACATCCTTTACATCTTAACACAGGATTTTGTTGCAATAAAATAAATAAAAAAAACGTAAAAAAATAAAATAAATAAGCCACAAGTGGAAAGGTGTTTAAAAAGGACTGTGCTTCCGGATTATTATTATTTTACTTTTTGTTGACCATCTGTACACCCTATGACTGAGACTGGTGTCAAAAGGAGAACTGATATGTATGTAATACATACGACCCCAGCCCTTTAAATCACCTCAGAGAGGACCTGGGTGGGTGAAGTCTTCACCCAGGTCCATTCTGACATCCCACCCATCAGGAGCCAACCACAATGCTGGCTGCCCCCCAATGTCTCATGGGATTTCCCAGCTAGCAATGAAGGAAAACACCTTCCACTGCCATGCTGAAGCTGGGAAATGGCTGTACCCACCCCACCCCATAGCCACACTGGGCCACAAACTCCACTTCCCATAAGTAAAGTGTGGGGGGATGGGACGGGACAGGACTTCTCTCCCTTTTTCTACCCTTTGTTTCCAATATTTACTTCTGGCTCCTTGCAGCAGCAACAACAACCAAAAGCCAACCAAGTCCAAACTGAGGGTTTTGGAAAGAAAGAGCAAAGAGCAATGGAGCCTCACCCTCCTATGCCTTCTGTTTGGTGCAGTTGTCTCGCTGCTCACACTCTCTCTGTGGTTTAGGTGAGCAAAAGGCCGGGCGGCCCCCCAGGTCTCCAAGAACCTCGACATCCGGACAGAGGCCCTCATCTTCAAGCCATCGTGCACTCTGGTGGTTTGTGGGAGGTGGTTGTTGGAAGCACGCTGCTTAGACTGAACCCGGGGAGAAACAAGACAGCCAAGCGTACATTTTAGAAAACTGGATATAACGAACAAATGAAATTATTTGACAGAATTTATATACTACTGACTCATCCGTAACCTCTAAGCCAAACTGGCACTCTCCAGTTTGGATAGCTAGATGGCTCAGTTGGCTGGAGCGTGCTGCTGATAACGCCAAGGATGCCGGTTTGATGCCCGTAAAGGACAGCTGAATGAATATTCCTGCATTGCAGTAGAGGGTTGAACTCAATGATCCTCGGTAGGATTCTATCATACTTAAGATGTTCAAACCTACAACTTCCACCAGCTTCAGCCAAAATGAGTTTTGAAACATCTGGAGGGTGCCAAGTTGGTGAAGACTGTTCTGAGCGGTGACCATAAAACATGAGATGTTTGTTAAAAAATACTGGTTAAAAACTGAATGTTAAAAGCAAGCGAACAGTGTACCGTATTTTTCTCTCTATTACACACAGATTTTTTCTCCTAAAAAGGAAGGGGAAATGTCTGTGTGTGTTATTGAGCGAATGGGGGGGGGTTCCCTGGAGCCGATTAGGGGAGCGCAGGAACAAAAATCAGCAAAAATCAAATCGTGCGTTGCGTCGGAGAGGGAAACCTGAAAAGAGGAAGTTGCTGCTTTCCTGCATTCTGCCTCAGGGTCTTACTGCCCACTCGCTTGTGTTTCCTTGCTGTGTTTGCTCAAACGGAACAAAGAGCAGGCAAATCCCCTCCCCTCCAGGCAAGCAGAGGGGAAAGCAGAGGTCTTTCCTTCTAATTCCTCTCCGTGCTCCTCGCAGGCAGCCAGAAAACATGCAGGAGAGAGAGAGCTGGCTTCGGTTTGGGGAAACTTTTGCCTTTCTTTCCTCCCTCCCGTTAAATCCCTCTCCTGCATTCTTAGCCAGCTGCTTCTCTGCACACCGCTCTCGTGCTCCTTGTCCCTTCTGTGTTTTTCCTTCCCTCCCCACTTAAAATGTAGTTACAAAGCATGGATCCACATGGATCCTCAGGATCTTTGGATTGGGCCACCCCAAATTCACCATCAGATCACATAGCAGCCCCCCCCCCCAAATCACACACCCACTGTTGCCTGGGGCTGCAATGGTGCAAAATTGTGGTTAAAAAGCATGGATCCACATGGATCCTCAGGATCTTTGGATTGGGCCACCCCAAATTCACCATCAGATCACATAGCAGCCTGCCCCCCAAAAATCACACACCCACTGTTGCCTGGGGCTGCAATGGTGCAAAAATGTGGTTAAAACGCATGGATCCACATGGATCCTCAGGATCTTTGCATTGAGCTACCCCAAATTCACCATCAGATTACATGTCTGTGGCCACAGCATGAAGCACAAAAATGATACATCCACTGTTTCATTCAGAATTTTTTTCCTTGTTTTCCTCCTCTAAAAACGATGTGCGTGTTATGGTCAGGTGCATGTTATAGAGCGAAAAATACGGTAATTTATCAGTAAAATCAGAAGTTATTGAAGAAATACACACATTAAAACAAACTTATATGTTAAGATTACACATCTGAACAGTCTTACAGAACAGTCTTAACAGGTGCCAGGTACAATAAACATGGTGAAACGAAATTATACAGGAAATGATACAGGAAGCCTTATAACCTTATAACCTAGGACTACCCAACCCAGAGATGGGGAGCCTGTGGTCCCTCCATATGTTGCTGGACTCAGACCTTGCTCATGGGTCAGCTTGGCCACTGAGAAAACAGGAGGACGCTGGACTAGGTCAGCCTTCAGTCCAACCCAGCTGGGTTCTTCCTATGACTGCAACTCCTGTCATCCCTGGCTATTGGCCATGTTGGCTGACGCGGAGGCTGAAGGGAGCTGGAGTCCGTGAACATCTGGGAGGGCAACAGGTTAGCCAACGCTGACTTCAGACCACTTTTGCCTGCTCTGACTTGCAAGGCCTCTCTAGTGCCTTATGGTAGCCAGGGGACTGTCCCATCATTTATCACTTGACTCTTTCATCTGGAGATGTAGGTGAATGAATAGGGGAAACTTCTGCATGCAGCATGTATGCTCTACACCCATGGTTCCCAAACATTTTCAGGCCATCTCCCCCTCAGTTCCATTAACTTCACCCCAGTGCCCTGTGCCTTACTCCATGGAAAGCATTCTTCAGAATAGTGATTTGCACAATCCACTGAGGGATAGCTCAGTTGGTAGAGCATGAAGCTCCTAAATCTCAGGATTCCTGCATTGAAGGAGGTGGGACTAAATGATCCTTGTGGTTCCTTCCAACTCTACATAACGACAATTCAGCTACCAACGCAATGAAATTCTAAACAGCAACAATTAATTGCATGTTTATTCAAAATCCAATTTAAACCATTTAGTTTAACTGATTCAACAGATTTGATTAACTTGAGCCATTGATGCCACTGATACTCATTTACACCTCCAGCGCTCCCCCCTCCCCATCAGCCGCTTGCCTCTTAGAGCCACCCTAGGTAACCCCAGTGCCCCCTAGGGGACAGGACAGCCCACTCTGGAGACCGTTGATCTACACACTGAGCTATGACCTTTCCTCCCAATCCAGAGGTAGCTGATGAGTGTGTCCAACAGGTCTCATGCCACATCCACGCTATATACTCAATACACGTTTAATCTTGGGAACCAGCACACAGTTTCATTTGTGAGCTGAGCAGAACAAACTGGATCACCCTGGAGTACCTTTTATTTTCTCATCGCTTTCTCTCAGAATGCCAGTGGAGCTGCACTTAAAGGCAGAACGTGGGAGGCTTGAAGCGTATTCTTTTAATTACACACAGTTAAAGAGCAGCCTTTTCTGGATACTCGAAGTGTTCCTTGGAGACCGAACTCTATAAGCCATTGTTTCATGGATCCATGGACCCTGGCAACTGAATGTCTAATACTTATTTCAGCCTCGTTATGCAATTGCAGCCCTGCCTCCCCACAGTCTGTGCTCCCAGTTCTCAGTCCACGGTCGCTATCTTTCTTTGTGGTTTATTGCCTTCGGTGTCCCAATTCCCACCCCCCTACACCCCCCCCGCAACTCCTTTCCCTAGCTTGAGAAACTTAAAGCAAAACAACGACAACTAACAAACATAAGCACAGCCATGCAAAATAAATTGAGGGGTTGCTTGACCAAGATTAAGCATGCAGACTTGCTCAACTTATTTCAGCTAAAAAATGCAAGGTGTGGGGTTTTGTTTTTTGCAGACTGCAGAACTAAAAAGCGAATTATTTGACTCCCCCTCACACACAAGAAAAAATTTGTCAGATGCATATTATGTGCAGGCTCACATGCACACAGAAACCCAATTGTGCCCCAGAAACCTGCAGGCAGATTGGGCTTGTTCAAATCAATGTGAAAATTCAGGCTCCCTCATATCAACACTCTGCATGGTTCACTGGTCCCCAGTTCTGAGTCTCGCTCTTATTTTCCATCCCTTTTCTCCCCAGCGATAAGCCAATGTAGTGCCCCATGTTCATTGGCAACAGCTCCCATTAACCCTGGGAGTTGTAGCCAAGACCATCTAGAAGCCTCCACATTGGCTATCCCTGCCCTATGCAAGGTTCTCCCCAGCCCCTCTCCCCTCCCCCACCACTACTCCATCCTTTAGTCTCCCACACCCATGGGCTTCCTCAACCACTCTGCTTCCGGGTTGCCCAATCTAGCTTTGCCACCACCTGCATTCCATTTCCTATCCTTGTCTGCCCAGGATTTCTATATCTGCCCCTCCTTCCTTCCTGGGGAAAAAAAAAACCAGCTCACAGTTATCATACCCTCAATTCCAGTATGAAGTTCTTCATAGCCAAACTTTTAAAATAAATAAATAAATAAATTCCACTTCATTCACAGATGCAGCATCGTTTGCAAACATTTTACCACAGGCATCTATTTCCCAAACAATCAGAGAACGTGATGACGTCACAGCAGTTCAGCCAATGGGGAGGGAGATCCCAGGCAACATTCCATTTGTAACTTGCTAAAAATAATAACAAGCCAGGCAGACAAATGTGTGCACACTCTTGTAAGCGATATGCACGTGTATCTTAGGGTAAAAGCACACCTACCCTTGGGTCTATCACCAAGTAAGTTTTGATATTCATGGCTTCAAGGTAAGGGTCTCTGAGGTGTCCATTCCCATCTTCCACTTCATAAGCTTTGCCTAGGTGACTGAGGGTTGCTTCTGTGATGTGTACACGGCTGGAGAGAGGAAAGAGACAGGAGCACAAAAGACTTGAAACATTTGCAGAAAGGTCACTGTAAGTTATTCATTTCCATATCAATGGCTGCTGTTGACAAGCCTGAGCTTCTCAACAGCTTCACGCCTTGGAAGCCAAATCCAGGATCCTGGCAGCATTGCTGTTTAACAGCTTTGCTTATTTGCAATCCATCATAGCACAATTGTTCATGCATTTCTCACTGGGCTTTGTGCAGTGCCTTCAGTTTTATTTTCTGTTATTAAGGAAGCTATATAGGATTTATCTACTGCTTAATTGTCAAAACCTCCAAGTGGTTTAAATAAATTACGCATTAAAAATACCGATAATATTAAAAGCAAGTTAATCTAAAATTTTCAAAATAAACGAGCAGTTTTCAAAGCACACATTATAAAAGTTGCACATTAAAATGCATGTCCCAATTTGCATGTCTGGATAGGCTTCCTTCAGCAATGACAACAAAAAGGTTTCAGCAGTATAGTACTGTACAGAGAAAGCACCTACCTAGTACCAGTGGGCAGGGAGTACCAAAGTGCAGGTGTTGCCATGCTGCAGGAATGCTTCCTTGCAAGTGTGGAACAAACGTTATGTAGCACCCTTTCTTTCAGCAGTGTGGGAGATGAGGCAAGCAAAATTTAGGCTGTAAACCTCTTAAGGCCCCGATCTGTCTCCCCCTCCCTTGTGTTTGTCTGCAAAGCACTATGTATATTCATGGCGATATGATTACTATTATTATTAATAGATGCCATCATGCAGGAGCATTCAGTACCGCACATGAATTTAATGCAAGCAAACGTTAATTATATGCACAGTGACTCACACATGGATTAGCTGTAGCCCTAGGGATCATTATAAAATATACACACTCTCAATACTTGTGCAAACTGCTAGTCTCATTTTCAAGGACAGCTTGCGTGTGCTTGGGGAGGCCATCAACATTAATTCAAATTTCTACCAAAAAACACTCTTCCCTCCACCACCCCTCTCTGAACAAGTTGCTGAATGGCTCTCAAAAAGGGCTGGAAGCTCTCGAGGGCAACATCTAGATATATTACACAACGCAGAACCATCCAAGAGTTTACTCAGCTGGCTAGCGTCACAGTTTCTCAGGCAGTGTTCTGAAACAATCCAAGCTGTAATGCACTAAGCTCCAAATACATATACACACACCTTCTTTCGGTTAAATAGTTTCTTCCCTGCACATTCCTATCGTTAGAGTTGTTCTCCAAAAGGGAACCAGCTACCCAGATATATAATCAGCAAGCTATATTTGTTTTCAAAAGCTGTATTGATTTTTATCTGTGTTTTAATTACAACAGTTTTATATGCATTTGTGTGTGTGTTTTTTAATTGGTTGGTGGATTTGACCTGTGCTTTACCTACAGGTCTTATTTGGACACCACTTGGAGAGCTCTTTCATCAAGCGATTGATAAAGCTCTTTAATAAATTTGTCCATGGGCAGAGTTGAGCTTCAGCGCAGGGGGAGTTGCCAACACTGTTTTAATTATGTAAATCAACATCTTATACTGCTTAATGTGATCATTTGTTTACTTAAACTGTTTCATTTGCTTGCTAGCTTCCAGCCAGTTAATTGTTATTATTTATGCACTGGGAAAAGCTTCAGCAATGCCAACACTCAGGATCTGGGGGCAGGGAGGGGCAGGGGATTATCCAATGACAGAAGAGCATCTATGCTCATATATAAAAGAAGAAGAAGAAGAAGAAGAAGAAGAAGAAGAAGAAGAAGAAGAAGAGGAGGAGGAAGAAGAAGAGTTTGGATTTGATATCCCGCTTTATCACTACCCAAAGGAGTCTCAAAGCGGCTAACATTCTCCTTTCCCTTCCTCCCCCACAACAAACACTCTGTGAGGTGAGTGAGGCTGAGAGACTTCAGAGAAGTGTGACTGGCCCAAGGTCACCCAGCAGCTGCATGTGGAGGAGCGGAGACGCGAACCCGGTTCCCCAGATTACGAGTCCACCACTTTTAGCCACTACACCACACTGGCTGGATGGTTCTGAGCCATTTCAATGATGGATTGGGTAGACATGGTATGGAACCATGCAAACTATCAAAAGCATGGTCAAATCCATGCCATGTGCTTTACATGTATGGTCTGGATGTGGCCTTTGTGGCTTATATGGCGAGCAACCACGACCAGACATCAATTGATAAATGCATTAAAGGAAGAAAATCAACCAGCAAAGAACATCCATAGATTTTAGAGGCAATAAACAGCTCTTCTTCTGAATAGCGTGGTACAATGCACATTACTCAAGTTTTGCTCATAGCGTTGTGAAGATCCCACACGTCTCCAGCACCATGACAAAAAGGGCATAATTTCACCAGGCTTCTTTCCCAAGTGAATTACACCCTCAGGTTGGGGAATCCTTACCCAGGAACTCCCGCAGATTCCATTCGGTTAGCTAAGGAGACATCATGAGACCAAACGTCGTACTGCCATTTCCGAAGCCCTATTACACCGCAGAGCACGTTCCCAGAGTGAATGCCGACTCGCATATTGATGTCCACTCCTGTGGCTTCTCTCACTTGTCTGCAAAACAGATCAGAAGAGGATTGGAAGAGGTGCCTACTCTTCCCCCATCTTAATGCCTACAAATTTATGCTGGCGCTTTAATTCTCTCTTAATTACTGCAAACTCCAATGTGAAATTTAGGGATGTGGTCCACCCTGTGCTCAAGTCAACAGCCAAAATGAGAGAAGAAGTGGGATGGATTGAGTATTTTAAACAAATTGGAGTAACCTTCATCTATACAAGAAATGGAGGACAGTGGAATATAGGAAAATGACTTATACTGAGCCAGACCATCAGCCAATTTAGTCTATGCTCATGAGCAAAGGAGCATTGAATACAGAGAGAAACGAACCATCACCTCTGATGCTTTCACATGTTTCTTTAAATACTTGCCCTTGTTTTATCATACACATTAAATGCAGTGGCTCAATGGTTTGCAGTAACCATCATTTAGAACCCAAGCCATAGTTTGAACTTCCAAACACAGACTTAAATAATGCTTTAGAACTGCTTGCCTATTGTCATTTTAGGAATGCAGGAAACTGCTTTATGTTGAGCCAGACCATTGAGCCATCTAGCTTGCTGCTGTCTACATTCACTGTTAGAGGCTCTTCAGAGTTTCAGACAAAAGCATTTACCAGCCATGCATGGAGATAACAGAGAATGAACTCAATACGTTCTCCATTCAAACCATATGCTTCACCACTAAGCTATGGACCCTCCCCAACTTTGGGCCAATTACTATGGCCTCATTCTCTACAGACTAGCTATGAGCTGTAACCTAGGTTTGTCCTGTGGTTTACAGCTTGTGCTTTGTCAGCATATGTAAACCATGAGCCCAGTTTGGATGCTGTGCTTAACGAAACTATGATGGAGCAGCAAAACTACTGGAGAGGAGGAATAAAGAGGGCACAATCTCCTTTCCCAGAGCCCACACTTGTCCATTAATGCTAAGCCAAGGTTTGGCTTAGTGTGATGTACAAAACAGGCGGTTGATAGCAACACTTTTTTCTGTCCCCATGTTGGGGACATATACTTTGCACACTACTATGTAACCTATTCTCATTCTTAATGTTTCCAAATATTATTTAAACTCATTTTTTTTAAGTACATACTTTATAGCTTCGCACATGTCGAGGCCCATTTTCACACAGTTCTTGGCATGTACTGGCAAGGAAACAGGTAATCCCGAGACACAGTAATAACAGTCTCCCAGAATTTTTATCCTCATGCATTCATTTTCCTGCAAAACAACAACAACATGCGAGTCATCAGAAACACTGCAAATATGAATTAGCAAGTATCTATCTTAAGGAACACAATTATAGGCTTTACTTTGCAAAACAAACAAATCTGACCTTATCTGGAGCTGCTGTTTTACTATCTCTGTTCTGAGGAACTCTGGGGCTCCTCAGGAGTTGTTTTTTTTCAGGGACTATGAGAAATCATAAAATTACAGTTGGAAGGGTCCCAAATGGCCATGTAGTCTAACCCCCAGCAATGCAGGAATCACAGCTAATCAGTAATGGTGGACAAGCTTCTTTGAAATGTAAGTTGTCAACCATCACCAGTTTTCCCCTACGAAGCTCAGCCAGAAGGAAGTCCTGTTGTGCATACGGAAATGGGTCTTGAAAATCAACACATAATTAGGGATGTTGGAGAATTCCAGCAAAAACAGAAATGGCAGTAAAGGTAAAGGTAAAGGTACCCCTGCCCATACGGGCCAGTCTTGACAGACTCTGGGGTTGTGCGCCCATCTCACTCAAGAGGCTGGGGGCCAGCGCTGTCCGGAGACACTTCCGGGTCACGTGGTCAGCGTGACAAGCTGCTTCTGGCGAGCCAGCGCATCACACGGAAACGCCGTTTACCTTCCCGCTGGTAAGCGGTCCCTATTTATCTACTTGCACCCGGGGGTGCTTTCGAACTGCTAGGTTGGCAGGCGCTGGGACCGAGCGACGGGAGCGCACCCTGCCGCGGGGATTCGAACCGCCGACCTTTCGATCGGCAAGTCCTAGTCGCTGAGGCTTTAACCCGCAGCACCACCCGCGTCCCAAGAAATGGCAGTAGAAACTGCCAATGTGTGCTTATTAGGCCCATGTCTGGAAGGGAAACAAATCTGAATATTCTGCTGCAGTTCGTCTTCTGCCAAAACTAACATTATCTGTCTCGCTAGCTGCTGCAACAAACAAATTATATAAATTATGTTGTCACCTTGTTATTTAACTCTACCCATTTCACTGCAAAAGAAAGACAGATCAAGTGGGAAAACACAATCACTTAATTACAGGCATCTCCCCACTTACATGGGGGTTATGTTCCTGGGTAGCACTTTTACGTGAAATCACGTATTGAGGAAAACACCACCTAAAAAGCCTATAAATACCCTCTAAACCCCTAGAAACCCTTGGAAACCCCATGAGATTGCAGTTGCAAAGGGTCCTGGGGTTGCATTAGTCGTTTTCTTGCTTTTTAAAAAGCTATATTTGCAGTTTTCGCGGCTTTCACAGTTTAGAATCGATTTATTTATTTCCAGGCGCCACGCATATACACAGTTGTGCACAAGTTGATCACGTGTGTACATGGGAAGACACCTGTATTGTTCGCAGACTGAAAGCAGCAGCAACCACAAATACTGATAACGTAAGCATAGCTGCGTGTGATGAACACAGGGCAGAATGGAAAATGAGGACTCCTTACATCCCTCCCCATAATGGTTAGCCTCAATATAAATCTTTTCAGAAGTTTAGCAAGGCCACCTCCTCATCCTTCTCCAGTCTCCGCAAACGTTTAACAACCAACATGCAAGGAATTGTATCAGAAACAAGAAAAAATTGAAAAAGGAAGACAGAACTTTAAACATCTTAATTATGCATTTATGCCATTTTAGCACACAAGTTGTTTCAGTACGTTTAGTGATTCAATTCTACCACATCCATTAAGGCTTAATTAAGTTAACATCCCAATTGCTTCTTTGCCTTTAATGAGAGATAGTTCAGCGACAGAACACTTTTAGACCATAACTCCCTAATCATGAGCATTTATAATATTAATAGATTGGAAATGGTTGGAAATAGAACCTTCCATAAATAGAGACAGATGCTCATACCCATAAATCCCACATGCTCAGTACAGTGAACATTACTAAGTAATATAATATAATAAGAATATAATATAATAAAGATTGAGGCCAGAGATTCTGCAGACACAGAAAACTCCTTTGTGCTAAAATGGCATGTTCAACCTATCAACTGCTATTAACTCTTATAAATGTACGAGTTTGGGAGATTTAAAACTTGTTAAATATAACTTCTCTTCATTTGCAAAATACAGAACAGAGTAAGTAGTAATTTACACAAGGTTCAGATGAAACAGCCAAACCAAGGTTGCATCATTGCCAAGGCATCAAAATTGTCAAGCTTAAGTTCTGCATTTGTCCTCCGAACCAGAACTAGAACCAATGCATGAAATCAGTATACCAGTCAGATTTGGAGAAAACCATAGTTTGCGAATCTGGGTGCAAATAGCAAATAATGGCTGTGCTCACACATTCTGTTAAACCATGATTCAGCACACGCAGGCGTGAGCTTGTATGCCCCCTTCCTCTGCCTGTGCAGCAAGGACAGTTGGGTTTGGGAACTTTCGCTTTCACTTTTAACTATAGCTTGTACATTATCCAGACTAACAAACTGGGGTTAATGCTTAACATTAACTGAAGTTATTTTCATATATGTCAACTTCAACTTTTGAAACTGGCTAGTTGAAAATAACATTAGCAATGGTTAGCTAAAGTTCCTGGTTTGGATAATGAAGGAAGCTGCTGTTAACATGAAGGAGAATCTTATGAAGTCCTCTTGGCCATACAGGAGAAGGAGAGGGAGGAGGAGGAGGAGCATGCAAGCTCAAGGCTCCCTGTAGCTTTCCCATGGTGCTAAACCATAGTTCAGTGTGACATCCAAATACAGCCAGTGGTTTGCCCCAACCCAACCACAATTTAGCTTACATGTGAAACAGACCATTGCACCGTTACAAGTGGTGGAGCTTCATGCTCTGGCACCACGGAGAGCAGGAGGGGCGGGGCACGCCGCCCGCAGGGGGCTGTCTGCGGGGGTGGGGCACCCAGTGTGTGTGTGGGGGGTGTCAGCCGCAATGGCACCCTGGGGATCACGCTGCCGGGGGCAGTGCGCTCCCCCCGCACTCCTCTTCCTTCACCAGTGACCGTTACTACACCTTATTAGTGTAATAATAGTTGGAAGGATTTATCTATAATTACTGTATTTACTCAAATGTAATGCTCACCTTTTTTGGCCAAATTATGTTGCAAAAATTAAAGTGCACATCAGATTCGATGGCACATTAAGATTCAAGTAAATATGGTATTGAAAACATAATAATATTTAAAATGACAAGAAGCTTCTCTATCTATCAAGAAGTTGCTTACCTTTGCTATTTGATCGAATTTGCCAAAGAGTTCATTCAACATCACCACGAGCTCTTTGGGAGAGCAGTCACTTGCCAGACGAGTGAATCCTACAATGTCTGCATACAAGATGCTATGCAAGGAAGCCAAAATCAATTAAATTGTTTTTCATTTTTTACATCAGCGATGTAGATATTTAAACTTCGTGGACATTAGCTAAGAACTGCACACATATGCACCAAACTATGGGTTACATCCAATGTTAGTTCCACTCAAGAGTAGGCCCATTGAAATTAATGGATGACCAACTTAGGCAAAACCAACATTGACTACAACCCTTTAATCATCTACTCTGCTCCTCACGGAAATGGCTCCCCTGGTTTCTGACAGCAATTGATTCACATGCAAAACTCACTTGCTCTCCCCCCCCCCGCAAGATCAACTGTCCATCATTTTGATTGTTGGGATATACAGCCTTTAAGAGTGATATATGCTCCGAAGTTTCACATATTCCACTAAGACTAGGGCTTTTAGTGTGGCAGCATCTGCCCACTGGAATGTTCCTCTAATAGACATCAGGCAGGCACCTATGGTACTGAAGCTCACCTGTTCACTCAGGCTTTCCCATGAGGGGTGATCCAAGTGTGTTGATCCAATATAGGGCTGCCATATGTCTGGAGTATCCTGGACACAGCCAGGATTCATGTCAAAAATAGCATCTGGACGGATTTTTTGGAAAGCGGCAAAAATGTCCGGGAAAACCTGGGTATATGGCAGCCCATATCAGAAGTGGTGGTTGGTTGGTTTGTTGTTGATTTTTGCAATTTTCCTTAAAAATAGGTTTAAAACTTCTTTTTCTATATATATTTTGCAAAAAAAAAAAAAAAGCTCAACAACTCCCCCCCCCCAAAAAAGAACTCTACAACTTTGGCCCAAATATATCTTTGGCATTATATTTTCCATTTGTTTTATGCATGAAATTTTATCGATTTTATCCTGTTCTCTGCCATGTTTTGCTTTATGCCGGTAGCACAGAATTTGTTGCAAAACAAATAAATGGCAAGAACTGGATTGTGTCTCTAGTATACTGGGGCAACAGAAAGAACTATTAACAGAACCAGGACGAGTTACACAGCTCACCTAACATTCTGGTGCCGTTTCACATACAGGCTGTGGAAGTTGTTGTCGTGCTTCTTCCTGTCATTGGTTTCCTTCAGGCGTTCTATGATGGCTAATTTCATTCCCATAGATATATGAGCCGGCAGTATCGATAAAAGCAAGCTTTCCTAAGAGGGAAGAGCAGGTCTTATTCATTTTGCCTTATTAGCACTTATGCCACACCCTTTAAGAGTAAATACCTGCAAGAGCGCCTTGTCTCATATACATCCTCTAAAGCACTTCAATCTGTGCAGCTAGTACTTGTAAGAAAATGCTATCTTAGTGTGGCTGCACCCACACTTTGGAACTCCCTGCCTATTGAAATCAGGCAGGCCCCTTCACTGTACTCTTTTCAGCGCCTGCTAAAAACACTTTTTCTTAAAGTCACGTGCAGAATGGTGACACGAGTTTTAATCTGGTTTTAGCTTATTTTTTATTTAAATTTTTAAAAAAATGTTTTAAATAGTTGCTTTTACTGATAGTTTCATTGTTTTATTATTATTATTTTTGTAAACTGCTTACAGGATTGTTGCTTTTTAAGAATCAAGTGGTTTATAAATGTTATGCCCACTTAAGGGGCTCCTTACAAAATGCCCACCTTACAATTCCATTTAAAAAAGGAGGAATCAGAATGACAGAGAGTCAAGGTCTGCAGTCAAACGCCACAAAAACATTGCCTACCTCATAAAGTTCTGAGAAATGCAAAGTAACAGTAATTTTTTTAAAAAAAACTAAAACTAAAAACGTCAGCGTTAGTGGTGGTGAGGGTCATAGAAATGGAAAGAATAAATTGCTGTGCCGGAAAGGTGCTCATTAATTCAGCCAAAAACATGGTCCAATGTTCTGTTACAATAGAAGTTTTGGAATGAGTTCAATTACAGTGGTTTTACTCCAGCCGTTTTGCGAACTCCTTTTGCACATGTATGGGTGTCCTTTGGTGAGTATGAACAACTGAATACTTCTAAGTACGACCCATTACAGAACTTGCTGACAAAGTGATGATCTCCTGGTATGGCTGAATGATGACTTTAAAAGAGCTAGAAAGTGTGTAGGTATTTAAAGCATCGATTCACTCACTTGCTGCCTCTTTTCAATCTTCAGCTTCATTTGGACTTGGATGCACTTTAAAGTATATCTGTACAGATCCCACGAGGCATCCTGCATCTGATGCTTGTGGAACGCACCCATCAGGTTACCACAGAGAAAAATGAAAGCATTGGCAAGCACCTGAGGAAATAAATAAATGCCCCAACATCACAAAACTCAAAATTTTATAAGCGAAATAATCTGTGAACTTTATTAAGGCTAAATCAGCTCATTTTCTGTTCTCTTGCTCAGCACTTGACAATAGACTCCTGGCCCAAGTTTCATTACCCAGTCAATACAACTGCACCAGCTGCTGTTTCCCCCAAAGTTAGCTAGATATCATGGGGTTATTTTGTTTTACTTGGATGTATCTACGTGGTGCTATGTGGTGCTAATAGTGAACTGTGAGTCTCCTTAAGGGCTCTAGCTTCGCTCCTTCCCTTGCACAAGGGGAAGCAACAAACCATGGTTCCTGGCTTGGTGGTATGTCCTAACCAGGAATCATGATTCATTTTGTTCCAAACAAACTATGATGTAAAGTCAAGGTTTGATCTCTGTTTACCAGTCATGGTTTGCTTCAGTGGACCAGAGAACATGGCCTCAAATGCTGATCTCAATGTTCGAGCAGGCTAATACTGGTGCAGGCCGCTATTCAGATAAACTGGTACCATATGAAAAGCTGGTTCATAAAGGAAGTGGAAGTGATCCTTCAAAATCAGGGGTGGGGACCCTTTTCTTGCTAGCAAGCCAGATCCTTACGTCCCCACGACAGCTGGGCCAAATCTAACAGGTGGGTGGAACCGTCCCTCATCCGATATTACTGTGTAATCAGGCAATGCTGCACTTTGAAGTCCCATTGCCGGGACTTCAAAATGTAGCATGAGCTGTTTAAAAACCCTTTTGCAAACATTCCTGAGCTGCTCTTTGAAGCCTCTGGTTTTCACAGGTCCAAGGAGCAGTGCTGAGAGGAAGAAGAGGTAGCATGTGATGGAGAAAAAAGACCCTTTGCCTAAGACCCTGGAGAGCTGCTGCCAAGCAGAGTAGACAATACTGGCTAGGTCTGATCTGATATAAAGAAACTTCATGAGTTGCTTCCTAGATAAGCCTCCCCCGCTACAAACACACACACACACACACACACACACACACACACACACGAGACAGATAGGTAGCCGTGTTGGTCTGCCATAGTCAAAACAAAAAAATTCCTTCCAGTAGCACCTTAAAGACCAACTAAGTTAGTTCTTGGTATGAGCTTTCATGTGCATGCACACTTCTTCAGATACAAGAAGAAGTGTATCTAAAGAAGTGTGCATTTGCATGCACACGAAAGCTCATACCAAGAACTAACTTAGTTGGTCTTTAAGGTGCTACTGGAAGGAATTTTTTTGTTTTGACACACAGGAGAGGCATTGATCTTGGAATATGAAGGAATCAGGGAAGATCAATGGACTCAATAATGCCGCTACCCATCAAACAAAGATCCTGAAAAGTTTTGAGTGTGGATAGTGACATATAATATTCCAACAAGTAGGCCTGCAAAAAAATATCAGGACTGTCTCTCCACAATTTTGCATTTTACAGGTTTTTCTGTCTTACTTCTGTGATATATTGCAATCAGAACTATCTGCTCCATGTGCCAAACCTTAATCTTTCAATATCTGTAGGGTGATGTAATTTTTTCACCCCATTTGAACCTGAAACAAAACAAAAAAAAAAACTTCTACTCTCTTCCTTGACTGGCTATAATAGGCAAAGTTTATTTCCTTTTAACAAGCCCTTTGTAGAAAAGGTGTGCTTCCTCTCGAACTCAGGTACGAACGCAACACTCATTTAGAAATTGTGAAAGAGATTGTGCTTGTTCAGTTGAAAGGTAATTGGGGAGAAAATTAATGAGTGTATATAGGCAAGCACTTGTGATGGTGAACAGTCAGGCAGCAAGAACATTGCTTTGAGAAGGACCATGATTTAATAGCCAATATTAGCAAACTGAAGCAACATCCAAGCCTAAGGAAATTAAATCATCTACTACAGTATTCTGATGAGCTCCAATATATACACTGTAACTGAGACAAAAAGGAAATTACATATTTTAATAACTTAGGCAGGTTCTCTCCCCACCCCCTTTTTATGCTGTTAGCATAGGGGGAAATTAACCAACAAAGAAACAAATGACATAGCAAATGTTACAAAGGAAGGTTTAATAACCTAAGAAGAGCCTGCTGGATCTGGCCAATGGCCCATCTAGTCCAGCATCTTGTTCTTGCAGTGGCCAACCAGATGCCTGTAGAAATCCACAAGCAAAAGCAGAACACAACAGCCCTCTCCCCTCCTGCAATTTCCAGCAGTTGGTAGCATTGCTGCCTCCAACTGCATGAGCAGAGCAGAGCCATTGTGGCCAGTAGCCATCAATAGCCTTATCCTCCAATTTGTCTAATCCTTTTTCAAAGTCATCCAAGCTGGTGGCCACCATTGCCTCCTTGTTCCATCTGTTGAAAAACTTTTTCTCTTTTTGCAACCCAGAAGAAACCATAAACTGTAAAAACGTCCTTGGCATAAAGGAGGAGGGCAGGCTACTAATAGCTGGGCCCATTCTGTATCTCCAGACGGCAGGTTGCTCAGCAATGGTAGCTACAGAATTTTGAATGTGAAGGCTTCAGAATATCCCCTAGAATAGCTAGGGGGAAGGATGACGGAGTTACACATAGGACTTCTCATTTATGGGTTTTGCTAGCACCCAGTAACTAATTATGAGACCAGGAATGAATTTTCCTCCAGGCAAGTCAAACTGGCTAGCAACTCAAGTGGAGGGTTGGTTTTGTTGTTGTTTTGAGAGAGAGAGAGAGAGAGAGAGAGAGAATGTGTGTGCATGCGCGCGAGTCTTGGCTCTCTTTCACAAGTCATCCTAAGCTTTCTGGTTTGAACCTGCCTTCTTTGCTGGTGGTACACGTTGCCTAATTCACGTAGGTTGACTGGAGGGGCTGTGAAACGGACAGTTCCTGCCTTCAGTCAAAGAGTTGGCAACAGGGAGTTGACTTGTAGCACTCAAGCAGGCAGGAATTAGCAACATGTGCCAATTGTTATTAATCTAGATAATAGATTAAGTTGTCAAATAACATTCATCATTTGTGATTTACAGTTTCGTAGGGAGAACATGCTACAGGTTTTAATTCTCCTCTTCCTCTCCAGTTTACAGAACTACAGTGGGGCTAATTTTAAATCCCCTAAAAGCATTTTTTAAAACCCAAGCATTTCCATCACTGTCACTTTGGCTCAGTTCAAACATCATGTCCAACCATGGTTTGCACGAATAGTGCTGCGAAGTTCAAAACATGGTTTAAAAATAACCCTTCTGGATCAAGCCAAAGGCTAATTTAGTCCAGCATCCTGCTTTTGACAGCAACAAGTCAGGTGCCTTTGAAAAGCCAAGTACCAGACAATGAGGGGAATAACTCTCTCCCACTGGTGTTGCCCAGCAAATGCGGTTCAGATACACGCTGCCTCTGATGCTGAAGGAGGCATATAGCCATCAGGATGAGTAGCAATGTATAGCTTCCCCTGTGGATCCCCCCCCTTAAACCTTTGGAAACTACGCTTTTGGAAGCTCATCTGTGGTGCCGCCCCTGCCCCCAATTTATGTAGTTACAGCTGGTGCCATCTCTTTTTGCTTTTCAACAGGAGCTGAAAACATGGTTGTTTACATAGGCATTTACAGGATATTAGCATCTAGACTAGAGTGCTAAGTTGTAGTTTGGCAGTGTTGATCAATTGGCTTGCTTTACCTGCCCTTTGTTTTACTGTGATTATATTGATTGTACCCTGTTGTCGCTGGGATCACTTGTGATGAAGGTCCAGTGAGAAATCTTCAGTAGATAAATACAGTAGTGCCCCGCAAGACGAACGCCTCGCAAGACAAAAAACTCGCTAGACGAAAGGTTTTTTCGTCCGCGATTTGCCTCGCAAGACGAATTCCCCTATGGGCTTGCTTCGCAAAACGAAGCTTGCCCCGGGGACAGCGGGTCTTCTCTTTTGAAGCAAGGGGCTGCGGGGAGATAGCGATCTCCCTGCAGCCCCTTGCTGCAAAAGACGTCCGGGGGAAGCGGGGAAGCGAAGTGCTTCGCTTCCCCACTTCCCCCGGACCTCTTCTGAAGCAAGGGGCTGGGGGGAGATAGCGATCTCCCTGCAGCCCCTTGCTGCAAAAGACGTCGGGGGAAGCGGGGAAGCGAAGCGCTTCGCTTCCCCGCTTCCCCCGGACCTCTTCTGAAGCAAGGGGCTGGGGGGAGATAGCGATCTCCCTGCAGCCCCTTGCTGCAAAAGACGTCGGGGGAAGCGGGGAAGCGAAGCGCTTCGCTTCCCCGCTTCCCCCGGACCTCTTCTGAAGCAAGGGGATGGGGGGAGATAGCGATCTCCCTGCAGCCCCTTGCTGCAAAAGACGTCGGGGGAAGCGGGGAAGCGAAGCGCTTCGCTTCCCCGCTTCCCCCGGACCTCTTCTGAAGCAAGGGGCTGGGGGGAGATAGCGATCTCCCTGCAGCCCCTTGCTGCAAAAGACGTCGGGGGAAGCGGGGAAGCGAAGCGCTTCGCTTCCCCGCTTCCCCCGGACCTCTTCTGAAGCAAGGGGCTGGGGGGAGATAGCGATCTCCCTGCAGCCCCTTGCTGCAAAAGACGTCGGGGGAAGCGGGGAAGCGAAGCGCTTCGCTTCCCCGCTTCCCCCGGACCTCTTCTGAAGCAAGGGGATGGGGGGAGATAGCGATCTCCCTGCAGCCCCTTGCTGCAAAAGACGTCGGGGGAAGCGGGGAAGCGAAGCGCTTCGCTTCCCCGCTTCCCCCGGACCTCTTCTGAAGCAAGGGGCTGGGGGGAGATAGCGATCTCCCTGCAGCCCCTTGCTGCAAAAGACGTCGGGGGAAGCGGGGAAGCGAAGCGCTTCGCTTCCCCGCTTCCCCCGGACCTCTTCTGAAGCAAGGGGATGGGGGGAGATAGCGATCTCCCTGCAGCCCCTTGCTGCAAAAGACGTCGGGGGAAGCGGGGAAGCGAAGCGCTTCGCTTCCCGCTTCCCCCGGACCTCTTCTGAAGCAAGGGGCTGGGGGGAGATAGCGATCTCCCTGCAGCCCCTTGCTGCAAAAGACGTCGGGGGAAGCGGGGAA